ACATTGTGTTTGTTTGTAAGGCTCATTATATCAGTGGTAATCCAACTTATACCCATAGCTCCCTTTCTAAGAAGGAAATTCTTCAAAATCATATGTCAGTTTTGAATATTTTTAATATTCCCAACAACCAACATGAATTTGAATGACCATATCTATATTGGATTCCGAAACTTCATAAAAATCCTTACAAACAAAGATACATAGCGGGTTCTAGTAAATGTTCTATCAAACCTCTTTCTTTAATCCTCACTAAAATATTAAGAGTGGTGAAGGAGAAACTTCAGGAGTACTATGCAACAATATATTCGAGAAGTGGTGTAAATCAGATGTGGATACTTAAAAATTCCAAGGAACTTTTGGAAAATTTGAAATCACAAACTTTTTTTTTTTTTAATTCATAGATTTTATTTGTGCTTTCACATATACAGACTATACAATATATTAGTTAACATTCAATACATACTTTCATTTCTACTGCCTGATACTTCATATTAAATATAATTTCTTTGTAGTAAATATATGTTGCATTTCAAAATCACATTAAAATTGTATATGACATATTGTACATTTTAATGAATATTCACTGTGAAAGCTTTATATACAGAGATAAAATTAAAGAAAGGAAAAAGGGGGTGAAAGGGTGCAAAAAAGTGAGGTGGGGGGAACAGTATTAAGTATTTTAACATATTTGTACATTTGTATATAAACTTGAGAAAAATAAATACATTATATCATATCACAAATAATTTTCCAATATTTTTCATATTCTGAAAATTTACAGTTTCTTAAAAGTATAACTTTTTCGACTAATATTCTATCCACAATATTTTTTTCTAGCATTGAGATGCTTAGTTTAGGCACATTTTTAAACCTACTAGCAAAAATAAATTGCTTAACAGTAAGTATTAATATATTGTGTAGTCTAAACATGTTTTTGTTGTTGAATTTGCCAAAAAGTATATCCTTTCTATCAAAATTAATGGTAAAATGAAACTTATTTATAAACCATTCCTCAATGTGACACCATATTTTTTTAACGCAGAAACACTCAAAAAATAAGTGTTCAATCGTTTCGACATCTTGTTTACAAAAGGAACATACAGGTGAATCAATTAGTTTGAGATTGTAAAGGTATTTATTTGTTGCAATAATCCTATGCAGAATTTGAAATTGCATCCACTGAAATTTTGCTTCTTTTGTTACTTTAAAAGGAAGTTCAAAGTGGATGCTTAGCAAAATTTACTGTTCCCCAACAGCAAGAAAAAAAAGAGTTGATAAAAAAGTTCAAATCTATATACAATACAAAGAAGTAGTTGAGCTCAAACACGCCTACTGTCATTTCAAAAATATGCAAAGTTTACCAAAAACCTAACTTTATGCTAACCTTAAAAAAAAGAATTGTTAAAATTATAGAAAAGTAGTTTCGGTTGGGAGGAAACCTATATACTCAATTCCTTTCCTGTTCGGTTTTTTTTCCAGTTTGTTGTAGTTACCATGTTTGTTATATCTATTAACGGAATATGTCTGCAATGTAATTACAACAAATATTTATCCATACCATATTTTTATACTATACACTAGATTAAAATTGAAATTATGCACATAGATCCGCCCTGTGTTGAGTGATAAGGTAGAAAATTGATCGAAACTTACAAATAAAGGTATCACACCGGTAATTGACCAATCAAAATGAACTTAGTCAATTGTAGTTCCATACATGATAAAGAAATATTTTTTTTATTGTGAGAATTTTTTTAATTTCCCTTATTCTATTTTTACATATTTGGTATCTGTGCTTAGGATATTTTATGTACTTTGTAAAATATTAAAGGTTTTTGACAGGAACTATTTCTTTCGGGGCATAGGAGGCCACTTCCTGGGGTGCACACAGGATGTTTATAAACACATTGAATACACGTGGTTTTGAGGGTATTCCTGTTTGCGGATGGAAAAAATCAGAAAATGCCGTGTAGGTACCCTATTTTTTGGTGTCAGCTGATGTGACTGGTAACGTTTAACACTTCCTGCTAAATATTTTTTCATGAATTCGAATACCTGATTTTTAATGATTTTTTATTCTATATAGAATTACATAGTGAAAACAATTACCGGTGTGATACCTTGAAGGTGATTGTGTGAAATCATCTACACCCATATTAAAGGCAGTTTTAATTTTATAAAGGCATATTTTAACAAAATATGTCATTTTATGAACTTTCTGTGTGAAAGCACATATTTTTAAATTTAGAAGCAGGGTTGACATTAATTTGTACAGATTTCTATGGAAAATACTAATAATATGTCATGTTTTACCCTCAAAACTCCAAATTATGACTTTCAAAGTAGGATTATGCATCTGACATGTAGAAAGAAGTTAGAAAATGTTGGTTTTTTATTTTAGATGACTTTAAACTCTGTGCACCACCTGACCGCAGTCAATTATAGTGTCTACAGACTTTGCCGTAAAAGCACTTTAGGCTGATTTTTTCAAGAAAAGGCTAATTCTGGGTTTGCGAATGAGTTTTCAACAAAAGCGACAACTGCGATAAAATGTGAAGAAGTAAAACATGTTTTTAAAAAGTGTTAAATTTTACAGAGACTGGGTTTACTTTCATTTTATTCACTTTAAGTGATTCATTTATTACTGGAGTGAAGGAATAGAAATAATGAAATGAGTTAAATTTGTCTAATAAAAGTAATGTACAAATAAAATTTATTAAGAATTTTTCAAAAATAAGAAGCTTATGACCAAAAATGCATAAATACTGTCAGGGCATGAGAGCGAATACTTATTCTGAGTCCCAACCATGCATCACACATATAGTACAGAATGTCACTTAAGCACCATGGTATGCCTGTTATGGTTCTCTAGACTTTTTCCATGCTTTCGCAGCTGACATTCAAGATTTTTCAGTTTGCCGGAGAATGTTTTTTGTCATTTTACCACTTTTATGTAGGTGTTGACCCTCTCTTTTAAATTAAGTCTCGGTCAGGATGTTTATTTTAGCATGATTTGTTAAGCACATTAATGTACTGAAATATTAATAAATTACAAATTAAAGTGATGAAGAAATCTGGCATATTTACACAATCAAAATATCAGAATAACCATAATTCAGCTAATAAAGTGCCCTGTTCTTCTTTTGTCACTTCCTATAAATTTTACCAGCAGTTTTTGTACACCCACCCACCTCCAAGAATCATGGAGGATGGCCTGATAATAGTTTCTTTGTTGCATTTATTCACATTTAAAAGTGTTAAGACCCATAAAAATGTTTAAGATTTATATTTTTAAATTTAAATGTTGAATTTTTATGTAAATTTGGTGAAACAAAAAGCTGTAATCTGGAATTAATCATGCAAATTCATCAAACACCTTTGAAATTCCTGAGTAATTCAATGAAAAGAGGATAATTATGTATGTTCAATTGGAATTTCATGGCTAATTTGTGTCTGCAGAGAAAGCCAGTTACATAAATCACAACAATAAATTACATCTGAATTGTTTTCTCCATTTTCTTATCATCAAAGCAAGTTTAATGGAGTGTCAGAGCTGTCCAGAACCTCCCCAGATGCTGATATCATTTGGACTGCCCTGTGTTACAACACAGCTTTTAGATAAACTTCTGCATAGCAGGTTGTAGACAAGTATCTAGGCTTTATTTGGAACATAAATTGACCAGATGCAGATTTTATTATCAGCCTAATATTTAACAATTTCTGTAAATTCTGTCATTCTTAGGAGGGTAAAATGCAATTTTGTTATGTAATAATTGCATAATGGTCTCAGACTTGTGAATTATTTTTTGATTGTTGTGAAGAACAGTGCATATACTCTCCACGGATACAAAATTGGTTGCCAGGCTTAGTCTATTAAGGATGAAATTCTGCTTCAAAATATGCACAAAAAACTTCTGTCAGAGTGCTCAGTGTGTATTCTTGACTGCTCTGGAGTAAGGGAGATAAATGCATCATATCTCCAGCAATAATGGGAATTAGATCCCCCAGACTTCAGGATGTTAGTGACAGTTATTTAAGAAATCTCAGGTGCAAAAATGAAAAAAATCTGACAACTTCAAAGGTCCTTCAAGGTATCACACCGGTAATTGACCAATCAAAATGAACTTAGTCAATTGTAGTTCCATACATGATAAAGAAATATTTTTTTTATTGTGAGAATTTTTTTAATTTCCCTTATTCTATTTTTACATATTTGGTATCTGTGCTTAGGATATTTTATGTACTTTGTAAAATATTAAAGGTTTTTGACAGGAACTATTTCTTTCGGGGCATAGGAGGCCACTTCCTGGGGTGCACACAGGATGTTTATAAACACATTGAATACACGTGGTTTTGAGGGTATTCCTGTTTGCGGATGGAAAAAATCAGAAAATGCCGTGTAGGTACCCTATTTTTTGGTGTCAGCTGATGTGACTGGTAACGTTTAACACTTCCTGCTAAATATTTTTTCATGAATTCGAATACCTGATTTTTAATGATTTTTTATTCTATATAGAATTACATAGTGAAAACAATTACCGGTGTGATACCTTGAACACGATCCATGTTGCACGATTTCTACACCGGAAATCAAGACTTTAAAAATAATCCAAAATTGCGATGTATAAACTAGCAAATTCCGGAAAATATCAAACACAAACTTAAATAAATATATACATGCAGCATGAATATAATCCTATGAAAAACTACTGAAATAAATATTTTAGGCATTACAAATTTGGCATGAAAGTAAAAAAAAATGTACACTATTTAACCTGTGACTGTTCATGATTTTGATTTTATCAAACACAAACTTAAATAAATATATACATGCAGCATGAATATAACCCTATGAAAAACTACTTAAATAAATATTTTAGGCATTACAAATTTGCCATGAAAGTTAAAAAAAAATGTACACAACTGTTAACTGTGAGTTAACTGTGAGTTACTATTAATATATATTTAACCTGTGACTGTTCATGATTTTGATTTTAGCGTCAGACGGGGACTGGCATATTTCTTGCTGCACTTAACCCAACCTCGTTGATATGTGTGAAACGTCTGGGTCCGATTTTACTACCACACCACCGCGAGACGACCACCAGTGCGTTATTTATATCATTATCAGCGAGTGCTTTGAGTAACATTCTCCCGGCTCCGTGCTCGCCGTCATCTTCAGATCCCTCATGCGCTGTTCCATCACTAGTGGAAAATCGGAACGCATATATATTGTGACTTGCACTGGCAGTGTTTTCTGTACGCATAACTTCCACAAGCGATCGCCTCACCTGTTTATAGGAATCTACTGGCGTTGAGTGGGCAGCAAACCGGTTTCCATTATCTTCTGTGGTCTTCCCCGTACTGATCGCGATCTTTACCTCTTCTCCACTGATGATCTCATCGGCCATAGGTCGGCTACCAATTTTATCTCTATACACAGATTTGCTTTGTGTGAAAATGAGTTTTTGACCCTTCAACACGGTCTCTATGTTACGGTCCGCGTATTGTTTCTGTACATCATATAGGTGTTTCCTTTTTTCTCTGATTTCTTCCGGTTGATGTTGGGACACTCTTATTGGTGACTGCTTATCCTTAAGAATTTTAATGTGCCTCATTACGATATCTTTGTGTGATTTGTTCGCAAATTGAACACAAATTGGCCTAGGATATTTTCGTTGTTTATCGTACTCACCCATTCTGAACAATTTATAGATCTGTAGGCTATCCACAGTCTCTGCTGGTATCTCCATCTCTGCAGTGAACACGTTGCTAATGATCTTGGCAAGGTTTTCTGGATTTTTAATCTCGGGCGCCTTTTCATCTACTCCACTCACTATGATATTATCTTCCATTGCTCTAGTTTTAAGCTCTAGAATTTGCTCACTTTGAGTCTTTACACAATACTCCAGTCGAACTATGTAATCCTTCATTCGGCTAAGTTCTCTTTCCATCTTCTTCTGTTTTTCATGCAGCTCAGTGGTTATATATATCGTATCGTTCGCTTGTTCTTGTACACTTTCTAATCTCTCCTGAATGCCATGTTTTCCTCTGATATCCTTTGTGACTTCATCAAGATGGCGACCTTGCCCATCTATCCTTAGTAACAGGTTGGCCAGAGTGTTTTGAATATTATTTATACCATGCATAACATCTCTCATATGAAAGTCTCCAGTTTTTTCCGAAATCTCCCCATCGCTAGTATGAGTGTCCATATCATCAAGCCCTCTCTTTTTTGATTGATTTAACTGGCTAGCCATGCTTGTAACGGTCAAACGTTTAAAGACACAGTATGAATATCGCTCACCGGTGCTCACAAACAAATATGTTCACAACTTTTGTGCCTTCAAATTCCCGAGCCTATTTCGTTTGTTTTTCGTTTAAAACTCACTCCAACACACTTTAAAACATATTACATACAAGCAATACTTTTTTCAACACACAAATTAATAAATTTCCAGGTTTTTGGCTCAACTTTTGCTGCCGATAAAAATTAACGTCCTACATGTCGGGCATCGAAATCACAAACTTTTACAAAAATTAACAACTTAAAAACTTGGAGACCAGTAGCCCTTTTCACAAAAAATCTTAAGTTTTTTCCTGAGATTTTAAATAAGAATCTCTTACGACAAATCCTAAGTGCTTTTCACGAACTCATTCGTAACACGATCTCAATATGCTTTACAATCCCTAAATAAGTGGATGAAAAAAAAAATAAAGCTTAGTTTTCAACATTTGTCAGCAAAATAAACATTATTGACAACAAATATCGAGTGCAATCGATTGTGAAGCAAGGAAGTTTGAAATCTGACGTCACAATCACAAGTCTGACATAAAAGTAGGTCATACAAAAATCTTATGTGAAACTTACATCGTAAATATTTTGTAGTGTATTTCATTTAATTTTTGAAAATAATTGTGAAAAAGTGTAAAATATTATTTTAAGTTGCTTACAAAAGTTAAATTTAACGTGTATTTTGGTTTTTGTGGTTATATTATTACAATAAAATCGGTTTTAAAATACTTAAGAGGGGGTTAGGGCTCTCGTAAAGTTACGACAGATTTTGCACTTAACGACTTTCTTAAGAACTTTTGTGAAAATTATTTCTATCGCAAGTTTTCACTTAAGATAAAAATATGTCATAAGATTTTTTGTGAAAAGGTCTACAGGTCTTCCAACAATCTATTGGAATTCCCATGGGTACATGTACCATTTGTGCCTCGTTATTAGCGGACTTATTTTTGTATTCATATGAAGCAGAATTTGTTCTAAATCTTATACGTGAAAAGAAGAAAACACTTGCTGTGGTCTTCAACTCGATATTTAGATATATCGACGACGTATTGTCAATTAACAATCGTCATTTCCATTCTTATGTCGATACGATATATCCCGGTGAGCTTGAATTAAAAGATACCACAGAGTTTGACACATCTTTTTCATATTTGGATATTTTACTAGATAAAGACGTTATTTGTAATCTAACAACCAAGCTTTATGATAAACGTGATGACCTTAACTTTTATCGTCAACTTCCCTTACTTATGCAGCAATATACCTTCATCACCTGCATACGGGGTTAATATCTCTCAGTTGATTCGATACGCAAGATTATGCTCTACGTATGAGCAATTTCTAAAACGAGGTAAGTTATTGACAAACAAGTTGATGAAACAAGAATATCAGCAGTCTCGTTTAAAGTCGTAATTTCGTAAGTTCTATGGTCGATACAGTGACCTTGTCAGCATATACAATCTATCATTAAATCAAATGCTGACTGACTTTTTTCATACTAATTGTTAGGCCATTATTTACACACTGAATTGTCGACGGATTTTTCCGTTATTTCCCGATCATGAAAAGGAGCACAAGGCAGGTGTGACCGGTCGGCAGGGGATGCTCACTCCTCCATGACACCTGATCCCACCTCAGATGTTTTAGAGGTCCGTGTTTGCTCTGCTTCAAAATTTGTATTGTTTAATGGACTTTTAAGCTCTAATACTGTTCGTTATCTCCATACAATTCTTTTTAAAAACACAATTTTATTTTATTTTATTGATACAATAAAAACAAAACAATAAACTGTGTGAATTAATACGATGTAAAACTAAACAAAAAAATATCTTGCAAATGTTAAAAGTATCATTAAATACACATTGTAATATCAGTAACATGTACCCTTAAACACCAACGATATATGTGTCAGAAGTATATTGTAAAGGTACATGTACGTGGATACAACTTCTCTTCCATAATACTGTTTGAGTACAAAACCTTGACACGTACAGAAATCGTTCAGGCCTGTGTTCTGTAGCTTACTTTTGTGTAATGGGGGAATGTTCTAGAGTCATGACAGTAATGAGGACAACATGCTTATATGCACTGTAACAAAATATATATTGGTCCATATATGTCTTACATCTACTAATGAATTTTATTGTCTCTTGTCATTTACTCTCCTTTTTTGAAAAATTCGAGTTTTCGAGATTCAACTAAACTGTCAAAGAAAAATAGATAATGATCGGGCTTCACATACATGTTGATGCATGGTGTAATTGCACACAAACGTCCCAGATGATTCAAATGTTAAATATATTTTTCTGTCATATCTGTGCACCAATAAAATGAAATCGCATTATCGTTTCAAACTTTTGCTGTGTTGTAACCAGTTACATTGGCAATAAATGTCTTTGAATAAAAGGAAGAAATAGATTTTTTGCACATAATAAACCAAACTTTGATAGAGGGCAAACGAAGTCAGCTCGTGGTGCCGTTCAACTGGTATCTCGCAAGCATTAGAGAGTTATCGTTCTTCCTCTGTGGTTGTGTTGAATATGCGAGAATGGTCAATGACTTTAATCTTAACTTAATTAAGCGAAATTAATCTACAGTTCAAAGTCCTTTTTTTTATGATATTAAATCTAGAAGCTCAAAGTCCATATTTTCCCTTGACTACAGAAACGATTTCTTTTGAATCATTCTACCAGCTTGGTCAACGAAAAAACTCTGAGACCTGATCAACAGGCCTTATCAAATGCCAAATGGAATTTGAACTTTACATTGAAAGATACATACCATATTCGACACTTTTTTTTGAGAATGAAAATTATTATAGGTAACATAGTTTTATCTGTAGTTGAAAACTTTTATGTATTATGATTTTTTTTCTCCCCCCCCCCAACAATTTCAATATATTTGTCACTAGAAAATAATCCTCTAAAAAACAAAAGAAATCCTTTAAAAATTTAGGTCAAAGAATCAAAGAAACTTTTTTTATAACATGAGTGGATCATATACCGAAATGTGATGTGTAATACTTTTAAATATTTATTAAGTTAATTGCATAAAAGTCTATTGTTTATTACATGTGTATTTCATCAGTCAATCCCAGATAAGCATACTTTTTTCAGCTAGATATCACTAAAGACTATAAAACTTTATCCATTAGGAGTGTCAGGATTTTCTGTCTTCTCGCGAGAAGATGTTAAAAACATTAAATTCTCTTAAATATTTAGCGCCAGTGGTCATATTTCGGCACAATCCCAAATGCTTATAAAACATGTTTGTGTTTGTATGGTCAGCGAATCGATGCCCTACTTCTTCAGGTCAACTCAGGTCAGATAGTTCGCGGTCGTCAAAAGGTCAAATGTTGGATGCATAATGTAAACAAAGAAAGGCTTTTATTTATGTTTCCCACTCTTATATTTTACAATATCATATGGATGTGTTATCCATTTTAATATTTTCTCTCCTCTTTTCTTAACCCTGTACAAATCCTTAAGGGGACCACTGGGAATTTCATTGCACGATACTTTGCGCAGCATAGTGAAATCAAGCGTATTTACAGTAATTATGTTCACATAATTTATATGATTTAACAAAACTAAGAAATCAAAGTTAAGAATCTAACTAAATTTTCAAAGAACTGACTTTTTTGTCGATTTTGCAACCGATAGTTAAATTAACGTCTTACGGTGTAATAAGCATGGTAAGTGTTTTAAGATGTTACGATAATCTGAATTAAAAGTTATTAAAGAGGGGTTATAAAATGCTTTGAAATAAAAAGTATGAAATATATAATCTTGAAAGTTTGAACACAGGAATTTGAAAAACTCAGAATTATGTTTTATTATTCTTATTGTATTACCCTTGGTATATGTTATATTTTTGTTGTACTCCATAACAACAGGGAAATTTCTTAAATTTTGACACTTTGAGATGACTCCTCTGGAAAACAGGTGATACAATTTTGTTTTTCTTTCATATAGTGTACAATATAGTAGTACTCATCACATATTATAATTTGAGAAAAACATCTATAGTAGTATTTGTACAATTTACAATTTGAAGTGCGAAAAAAGAGCAATTTCCTGTATAATCTTATAGTAAATGTACCTTATTTTGAGATGGTCCCCAAAAATATCTAGACAATAGATTTACCCTAAACTTTGTATGTACATTGAAGTCAGTGTAAGTTTCATATGGCATAAATCTAAATAGTGTTTTGCTTTTATAATTTTCACACAATAAAACCCAAGTCGACTCCTTTTAATAAAGTCTTTTAACGACGACGGACCTAATTCATTTTTGCAATAGATGTTTTATTCAAATTTTAATATGAGGTAAAGTGACTATTGGTGAGTTAAAATCAATTAAAAAAAATCAAATGGTCATCGATGTAGATTTTTAATGGGGAGCGTCTCAAAAGTTGGCGATGGAAATCGATAATTACTATAGGAAGTGATGGGAAAATGCCAGTGTAGGGTATGAGTGACCATTGAAAAAATTCTGCAATAGAATTTTTATTCATATTTTAAAAAGGACAATGTTAACTAGACAATTTACCAGCAAATTATGCCAAAAAATAAATGGGCCATCGGCTTAGATTTTTCAGAGGGGCATGGCAAACGCAGGTGTAGGGCACATTTTGGGTGAAATTTTCAATGAAAATACCTTGGCCAAATAAATCATTTATTTATAAAATTAACAAATGAATATAAATCGAAATATTTACAATATTTTTGAATTGAGAGGAAACATTTGAATATCTTTAAAAGAATCAAAAATGTATATTTTTTTATCTTTTGCAATACATAATTAAGTCAATTTGATACAAGGCATATGCGCGGTTTTCTGCGCAGTGGCTCGAAATTTCGAATTAGGTCTGTCGTCCTTAAGTGCTTATATATTCCAAATTTGTACATGTAGATATATCTTTAGAAACTGCCCTTGTGTAAGAATTTTAAATAATACATGAGATACATGTTGTTTATCACATCTCAATTTGCT